TCCCTCCAACCCTGATGACAATAGTTAATGAATGACCCTCAACAGCGCGGGAAGTATTACAATCAAGAACTCTTCTTGATGTTTTACGATAACAGCAATCTTACACTGGTTCTAAAGAAATAAGAAATTTGTTACCAGTTAGAAAGTTAATGGAAGAGGAAATAAGAATTTCTGTTTTAGACGCTGTTAAAGAAATACAAAAAGGAGATTTTTATAGAATAAGCTTTTATTTACAACTCAAATGATTAAAAAATTAAAAAAAGAAAAGTAATTTAGCTATTGTTCTGCTATTGGAAGGATTTCAGGAATGTATGTATGCACGCCATGTGCATGTGTCTGTGTGTAAACACATGTATATATATGCGCATACGTGAACACACATCCGTATATACATGCATACATATATACATTTTTTAATCCGATCCTGCTAACAAAAGAGTACAGTAATTTATTATATAGATTAATAGGAATAAGAGATTAAATAATATTCTTTACAAAATTCATTTACAAATTTATATCATGAATAATAAAAAAAAGTTGCGTCCTATACATATTTTTGACATTGGAAATCGACTGTTTGATTTCGTTATTTAAGTGTCTGTACTTTTATAATCCTTGATATAAATTGCATATAAACTGAATATTGTAAAGAAGTTTAATTAATCTCTTGTTCCTGTTAAAATATGCCATAAATTATTTTTTGCCTTTGGCTTATTAAGAATTTTATAAATTTTGAAGAAAAGCTTATGTTATAAAACTTTTTAAATTTTTATCTTCTTAATCTTAATGACTTATTTTCAATTGAAAAATCACTTTTCAAAAATGAATAAAAAATTTTTTACTTACAATAAATGCCTCAAATAATTGAAAACATTTTCTGACTTTTCACTCAGAAATCAGAACTTAGGTTAAAAATATCATACAAATTTCAATTAAAATATTATTTCATGTCAGTGCAAACGTTAAAGTTTTGACATTTGTAGTTTGTCTTGCAAATAAAAATATGTCCAAAAATCATATCAACATTAAATTTAAAAAAATTTAATGGCATTTTATAAAATTTGTTTTACCATATTGTATTATCATCCGCAGTCAATATGTTTACAAAATTTGAATTCGATAGCTTATCAGGAAGTAGTATAAAAATCTTCTGTTCATAGCCCCAAATCGACCTTCTATTCATAAAGACGACCTTCTGTTCATAGCCCCAAATACCATGAGTGAACTAAATATGTGCTACTTTGCAGAAATATTATGCTGTTTGAAAGAGGTCATTATTTATACAACTACTTATACTTCGTGCATTTTGCAGAAATTATTTCACTTAAAACATTTTTTTGCCTCTCTCACACTTCATGATCTTATCACCATTCTAATGAATCTTGAAGGCTCTGAAAAACCAAACTTTGAGTAGGTTCTCATAAATTTAAGTTGATAAATACTATAAAAATACAACTGTTCTTATATGAGTAGAATTTATTGCCTGATGGAAAGGTTTTGTTAGATTGCTTTAGAAATCGGTAGAGTTTTATACAGATTTTAGGGTCTTCTTTCTTAATTTTCAGTTGTTGCCACCATCAACCTCTCGAGAGGACTTTCGGCTCGCTGCATATTTAGAGTGTCCCCACAGACACTATACATTTACAAACATTCATCCTCCTCCAGGACCCTTCGATAAGGCAGTCAGCGACACTAACCACTATACCAGCTGGGCTGCAATTTTCAGTTGTTCACGAGTCCACTAAAAAGCTCTGCTGCTTAAAATGTCAATTGCTTAAAAATATTTGCAGTCTAATGCAAATTTGATATTTAAATGTTTAACCTTAATATTTCTTTACAAAGATAGAATGATAGCTGTCAATACAGATGGGTTTAATGTATTTGGATTACGGCGAAGCACGCAATTGTTTATCTGCCCAAGAGGAAGGAAACTTTCTACAAGGATCTGACTTATATTTCTCATTCCACTTGTAAAAAAAGCCAAGAAAATGTCCATGCAACCAGCTTGTTGGCCAGGATTTGAACCCGTGTCGAACTAGCTGTGCTTAGCGATTTTAGATGCTCTGCTAGTGGGGATCTGGAGTCTTATTTAAAATCTTGTTTTGAAATCTTCTACCCTAATTTAGTGTGATAGTTGTCGTAGTATGAGGGTTAGGGTTATTTAAATATAACAAAGCATACGAGATCTATAGGCCTTCGTGGAGCCCTTACAGTGGATAACTGGGTTATACATGTAGAAAATCACGAAAAAGAAACAGGCAGGAATCCCGTCTCTGAGAAACAGAACTGATTATTTTCCTTTAATCTGAAATCTAAAACAAATAAGATAGAAAACAGCGCTTTTCGGGGAAGTCGTATTCAATATACAAAATTTATTTCAAATAAGCTGTAAGCTTTAAGTACAGTTTTTGTACAAGCAAATAGTAGTTTGCCTATGCTAACTGCACCAGTGGATTGGCTGCCTCACTGTCGGTGGGAAAAAAGAAAGTAGTTTAGCTTTCGTATGTAACTAACATGCTGACCAGCAGCTCACCCTGTATCACTCTCTATTAATTCATTAAATGAAGATTGGAGCATCAGATAAATTTTGCTTCTTCCAGTGCCAGTTACAAATCGTACAGCTCTTCGATAACATTTGAACTACATCATTAACGTTGCATATTACTAAAATGTACTTGTTCTTTAAAGTCCTTGATCTGTTCTAAAAATAGTACCGCAGAAGTTTCAGAAATGAAGTACAATTTAAAGCTACTTAACATTTCTATGCATATAAAAAAGTAAAACTGTTTAAAATGAATATCGTTTAACGCTTCCTGTTTTATTTGGAATAATATTTCAAAAATAAAACTCGTGTTAGTTATGACCCAAGCAATACTTAGTGGGATAAAGAGCCGTAGTTTGATAATGCTAGGATCATGCATTCAGTTTTCGTCATTTTAATAAAATCCATTATGATACTTATGCTAGTAATTATAAACTGCATTTACATATACAGAAGTATGATTAATACACTAATATCACATAACGTACGCTTTTTTTGCTCTGACAAGTTTTGTCAAGATACCAATTTTTAGTTTATATACAAGTCATAAATTCCCTAGCCAGATTCCATTTTTATATAAATAGATGCATAAAGGACAAAATGGAACAGTTAATTATATTTTTTATTATTTTACAAAACTTAATTCTTTTAGATACAGTCAAAAGTCTTTAATCCAGACTCGTCGGACGATTCCGGATTATACATCATCAGTTTAAATCCGGTAAGATGGCATGCAGAAATTATAAAATTAAAAATATGAAACCGTAATTTATGAAATAAAGAGCAATTATGATCTAAATGATCTATGAGGGGCAGGCTCGTTAATGGGTTAAAAGTCCTATCAAATATCGGAATTTTTGAATTTCCGCTAATGACTGATTGTCGCCATGTACAGATCTTTAAAATTAAGCCAATCAGTATACTTACTATTGAAAGTCAGAATGTTTAAACGAGGAAGTTAAAAGTTAGCCTCAACTGCAGCAGGATTTGAAATCAAAACATTTCTGGCCGTTGCAATGTCAGATTGATACATTACTTTCGTTTCAAAATATTTAGCTTCAAATTCAGCAATTACAGAAGCTTCTTCGGGTAAAGTGGCTTCATATTGATCAAATTCTTTAAATATCTGTTCAATTCTCTCTAATCGTGCTTTTAATTCTGTTAGACTTAACTGATTATTGAAACTATTGTGAAGCCGCGTTAGGGAAGATTTCGTTTGTACTCTTAATCTTTTAAGATTAGCTTCACTTAATTCTGTCATTATTATCATGAATAATGATTAATACGCAAATCCAGCAAATTTCCAATACTTTAGTTACACTCTTATGTCTAAGGAATTTTTTTAACACTTTTACTAATCCTCTGTCGAACGGAAACAATTCGTTTTCATTTCATGCTTTGGCTCAGTAGATAAACACACTTAAGCTGCCAGAGCTTCAGTTACGGATGTGAGAGTCTAGATGTAAGGGAACTCTTACACATTGCAAATAACAGCGAAATTCCATAACAAGGAGCTTTAGGAGTAACAATAACATAAATAAAATCGCTTTTGCATACTTCACTGCCCTAATTGGTTAATCTTTGGATTATGGTAACTTAGCGATTTTTTGGCGAAAATTTGCCGACCAACCCTGCTACAGCAACCTGCTAGTTTTCGTTGGACGCCATTTTGTTTTCACGAAGTTTTTCACGAGGCATGTTTTTTTTTTTTTTTTTTTTTTTTTCCTCAACATTTTTTTCCAACAATCTGCTATCCGAATTACGCTTATGCTAGAACTTTTATGGATCAAAAGTGCTTAATCATGACGAAGATTAGGTGCGAAATTGGGAGAAAGTGCAGAATCGCAAACTGCTTGCCGCGTTTTTAAGAATTGCACATACACGGTATCCATGTACACGTCGACCTATTTTCAGTTAAAAAAAGATCTCAGAATTGCACAAAATTGGCATTGCGCACACTCTTGACTTTATCCGTGTACACTGCTAAAGTACTAGCTAGTAACCTTTATCGCCTTACCAAAATGTCACCAAACTACCTGTTACCATATTCCAAAGATTAGCCTACTAATCTTCAATGGAATATATCTTTAAAACAGCACAAGCACAAAATTAGCGATAATTCAGCGCTTACATTTACCGGGTTCTTTGCGAAAGTACTTCCTACAACTTTATCATTGATGTCTAAGAATGATTTAAGTTAAAACAGAATATACAGTGCCCGTACAAAAACGATATTAAACGACATCGGTCTTGAAAGCAACAACACCCTTATACACTTTCGCATAATATTTTCGTCACAGTATTTAGTCTTTTTTTTTTTTTTTTTTTTTTCTTTATAAAACACCGGAAACTTTTAAAGCAATCATTTTCTAGACAATGTAAAATAAAGATAAATAATAAAATAGCAAGATGGGTAACAAAAATAACATTAATAGTAAACAGCACACTAAACAAGTACCTCTCCCACAAGAAGACCAACGATTTCTTCTCCTTCAGTTGACAATGCATGATTTAAACAAACAAAATAAACATCAGTTGCTAAATTTACATACGCCAGCGACATGTTCTTCGAAAACTTTCACACTTAAAATATTCTTCTCACATATTAGTGTTGCCAGATTGAAGTTAATAAAAACATTCGTAAAATTTTCCAAAATCTATTGGTAGGTTTTGTATAATGAGCTTAATTCAAATTTAAACCACACCTTGTCTTTGATCTCAATGGCTTAATAAGAGAGGATTTTGCCGAATTTTCGCCAAGGTATGTATGAAATTTTCTTGCGTTGTTTCTCGAATTTATTTCTTGATTTCGATTTCGAATGTGTTTCATAAAATTGGATTTTATGAAGTTCATTTATGAATCAATATCGAAAAGTTTTCAGAGTGTAAGCTAGTTAAATTTCTAATGTAGGAAAAGGAGAAGACGGAGGTTTTTCGGTCTAAAAAATGGAAAAATATATCAAACTTTTCTTTTAAGAGATTTCGTAACTAATTTAGAAAACGATTTCTAAAAAGAGTGCTTTTTAAACAACTTCATGTACATATAAAAATAATTACATATATCATAATTAAAGAAGGTGAACAATATTAAACATTAAGTAAAAAACAAGGAGGTTAGAATAGACCTCCTAGAGACATGTCATTCAGAAAATAAAACCGGAAATGGTACATGGTGTTCCGGTATAAGAGAGTGTTGTTGTTTACATCGGAAATGAACGTGCCTGCTGTGATTTTGTTCTAATAATTTGAAATGTGTTTAGGAAGTAAACAGTATGTTTGAAGAAACGTTGTGTTCATCCAGTAGTTTAGAAAACAATAATGCTTGCAAATCTGAGGAGGAAGAAATAACATGTAATGAGGCATCAGCTTATGTAAAAGAAAAGGAAGTGACCAGTCGTCCTCTTAAACATTTGTTATCTTTACAATGGGAAACAGCACCGGAATCGAAATATAAGAAGCAAATAAAAAGAGTACGATTTGCGAATGATTCAGCTGAAAATTCTAGTACTGAGACTTCTGAGGAAGTTCACGAAAAAATTATGTCAGATTCTTTTGTAGAGGTGAAGGACGCTCGTGCCAGTAATGATTTAAATTGTGTAAAGGATGTTCAAGATTCCGTTGATGATTATGATAGTACTAAAGGTACAATGGAACTTTCTTCTGTAGGTAATAGTAAGAACGAGGATCCGTGTTGTTACGTTGCAATGAAATGTGAGAAATTAAACATAAATTGCCGTAACGATAATTTCATAACTGGAAAGACCGTAAATTCCATCGAAGAAATTAATGGAAATGTTGTTGAGAGTTGTGGATATTTTCATAATCAGAGTAACATTTTACGAAGTCAAAAAATCAATAATGAAGTTATTCCTGTGCCTAATAAAGATGAGTCTGATTTTTTAACTCTTGTAAGTGAAAATCAAATAGTTTTCATTTCATATATTTTATTGTGGATATTAGTGTTTACATTAAATTTTAGTGTGTTTGTCACTGAAAGGTTATATATTTTTAATAGGTGTAAAATATGTCTAAGGAATATATTATGTAGCCATTATAAACATCATTCTGATTTATAATAATGTCTGAGCTTCCCTTTAAGAGTTGTTGGTAAAAATATATTTATGGGTGCCCCTTGGTGATAATTAGCGGTACATGGACACCGAGTTTGTGCAATTCTTTGACCTTGTTATTTTGGCTTTTTAGCGGTGAATGGGCAAAGTCAAGGGAGTGCACAATGCCTAGTTTGTGAATTCTCTGATTTTTTTTAAGTGAAAATTGGTCGATCTACACATGGATATCGAGTTTGTGCAATTCTTTGACTTGTTATTTTGGCTTTGTCCAAAATAACGAGTCAAAGAATTTTTGACGCAAAAATCGCCGCTACACAAATCCTAAATAACAAGGTCAAAGAATTGCACAAACTCAGCATCCATGTACGCATTGACCTATTTTCACTTTAACAAAAAATCAGAGAATTGCACAAACTAGGCATGGCGCACTCCCTTGACTTTGACCATGTACACATCGATCTATAGACACTTAAAAAGGTCAAAGGGGCAACGAATAAAAAATATATAGTCTAAATAAACTACATTTTAAATCAAACAATGAAATAACATAAAAAAGGAAAGTCAGCACTACACGAAGGAAATATCCACTTACCTTATTTACGAATTTCCGCCTCTTCAGTCAAACAAAAACTCAATTTCAGTCAAGCTAAATGATTTGAACTAGAATCTGCATAGTGACGTCACCATATAAATTCACAAAAATATCCTCCACAGTGCCGGTCCAACGTTCGACCATGTGCATTTCCTTCCTATGAACAGGACACTTGTAAATAGGTACTAAGTAAACCTTCATTTACACACCAGTCAATTAATGCTGTGTCCCCCTTTCGCTCCAAATTGTACAGAAACTTCAAATTAATATTGCCACATTCATCCATTCTACTTCGTAAACCACAAAATAACATACTTCTTATCCAAAATCCGACACGCATAAACTTTTCCAAACCTTTTCCCATTATTCAGATTGACCGTAATCATGCAACCAATTACATCATAATAGGGTTTCCATAGCATTCAATTACTCGGGTTATCATAAGTGAAACAATAACTTGTCACCCTTAAATCTTCTCTAACCCAGTTGTTTTTTGATGATAACATTTTGATCAGTCTAGCTGTATTATTCAGAAACTTGTTGAAAACTTGCTTTATGAATAGGAGTTCTGCTCATTAGTCCTAAAATTGACTTTTATAGTTAACATCAGAATTAATAAAAAAAACTTGTTAAATGTGTAAAACATATTCAGACTTTAACTGGAAGAAAAACATGCCAATGTAGAATTTAAAATTAGGCAAAAAAAAAGGGGGGGTAAAAGTATAGTGTACCCCTTGGCGATTTTTGGCGGTACGTGAATACCGATTTTGTGCAATTCTTTGACTCGTTATTTTGACTGGCGAAGCGGCGATTATGCGCCAAAAATCGCTGCTACACAAAGCCACAATATCAAGACAAACAATTGCACAAACTCGGTATTCATGTACACATAGACTTATTTTCACTTTAAAAAAAAAATCCCCCAATTGCACAAAAATGGCATTGCGCACTCCTTTGAATTTATCCATGTACACGTCGACCTATTTTCACTTAAAAAAAAAATCCACGAATTGCAAAAAAATGGTATTCCGCAATCTTTTGACTTTATCCATGTACACGTCAACCTATTTTCACTTAAAAAAAAATCCCAGAATTGCACAAACTTGCATTGCGCACTCCCTTTACTTTGTCCATGTACACATCGATATATTTTCACTTAAAAAGTCAAAGGAGCACCAAATTCTACAATATAGACAAACAAAAAATACATAATCTCAAATACATTTTAAACCAAACAATAAAATAACATAAAAAAGGAAAAACATGTTATACATTTAAGCACTACCAAAAGCAAATATTCACTTACCTTGATTTTCGAGTTCGCTTCGTACACCCAGAGCCACGTAAAAATCAAAATATCAATCATACTCAAATGACTTATTTTTCAAACCAGGTACTCTTTCTGATCGAACGCTTCACATAGTAACCATCTGAACCTTTCTTCCTACAAACCCATTCAAATCCATCTAAACGGTTTTTACGTTCGACTAGACGCATATCCTTCCTACATACAGGACACTTATAATGGCTACTAAGTAAACCTTCATTTAGACACCAGTCAATTAAAGCTCTTTTCCCCTTTCGCTCCAAATCGTAAAGAAACTTCAAATTAATCTTACTATATTCGGTCATTCTACCGTGTAAAGTATCAAACCAACACACACCACAAAAACGCTTACAAAACCATCCCATGATTCAAAATTTCCCAGAATCATGCACCCGATTATGTCACAATAGGGTTTCTGTAACGTTCAACTACTCAGGCTACCATAAATGAAACAACAACTTCGCCATAATACAAGGGGTACCTTAAAGTCTACTCTACTCAAAAAAGGTACCTTTCCGTTTTGCCGTCACAAATCTCGCCAAGCAGACTTTGTTGGCGACAGCATACAGTATACACATAAAAAATGGGTACTATTCTGTTTTGATTGCCGTAAAAAAATTGCAGGGAAAATGTATGCGCAAAAGTGCCAAATCTAGCAAACGTGCCCATTTAACAGCGCGCCAAATCTAGTGTACGCGTTGATTTCAGATTGTGTAAGTTTATATATTTCTATATTTCTTAAGACGCCATTGAAATACTAGTTTAATTTTTAAATCCTTTTTTGATTTTAAATCCTTTTTTAATATCCTCTGGATTTAACAATTTGGGAATTGCCCATGACAAAAAGTCGGCAGTAGAATTTTGGGTAAAGTGCAGAATCACCCACCGCTTGACGCGTTTTTAAGAATTGCACATACTTGGTATCCACGTGCACATCGACCTATTTTCACTTTAAAAAAAATCCTAGAATTGCACAAATATGGCACTGCGCACACCCTTTATCTATGTAACACATCGACCTATTTTCACTTTAAAAGTAAAAGAAAATTGACAAAAATCCAATTGTTTTTACCCTTGTAAAAAAAAAGTGGGCAAACAAATAAGTGAGGTGATTCTGCACGTTTACCGAGAATATTTTCAAAGAAAAGGCATCATTCCATTATAGAAAATTATACGTTTGAACAACCAACGAGATGAAATTATGCTTTAGCGATAAGTTGGTAGCGAAATAGCGATGCTGGCATCCATTCAGTTATGTTTAGCAATTTTTATATAAATTATAATAATGATCTGAAATAGTTATTTACTATTATGTTTCCATTCAGTCATGTTTAGCCGTTTTCGTATAAATTACAATAATAAAAAAGTATTATATGAAATTAACCTTTCATCTAAATTAAAACATCAAGATAAAACATCAATCTTAGATAGTTTAATCTTAGATAGTTAAACTTCCTTTCTTGATGCAATTATTTTTGGCAGCATTGGCATCAACAATAGTTTGGCGATTTTTTTACAGCGCTCAAAACTGAATAGTACCAAAAAATGTTAACAAATGTTAATTCTAAGAATTTTTTATTTTGAAGGCATAAACATTTTAATAAGGTTTTAAAATTTTGTAAAAAACCAAAAAAATAAAGACAATAAATTTGTAAAAAGACATTAATTTAAGAATTTACTATGCTTTCATGGTTCAAGATCCTGATTCGCTGGTTTGTATCACGTGACCCCAAGTGATCTCATTACACGTAAACTATGCTACAAAAATCTAATTCTCTCAGTAATTATCTACATTAATTTCAGGTTAAATCTTAAATTAAATCTTATGGAATATGAGTTTAAATGCAAGAATTATTTAAATTCGTATGAATAGCTTACTCAGAAATTATGTAAAACCACAGTGCTTTACTTCGCTAGTGCATTCGCATTAGATTTGAAGTATTGACCCTTGAATTTGCCTTTTCTATATTTTTGCCTTCGAGTGAGTGGTGTGATTGCATCCTAAATAATTACCATGAATAGTCTTAGGGCGTAAAATTTAACTAGTAAAAATTCTATGTAATTGTATGCCAGTATTGAAAGAAACAATTAATCTGATAAGAAATGCCTGTGACTTGTTTTGAAAATGAAGGGTAAAAGATTACCAGCGAAGATATTCCATTTGGCATCAATTGTACTATTATTGGCGACTTTATCATTTGTGCCGGCAAAACGGAAAAGTACCCAAAAAACAAATTGTAAATAAACCTATTTTGGGGTTCTAACTGTGTAATACTGGGTAAAATATCCTTCAGACCCTATTACACTGCCAAGCGAGTTATCACTGTGTAAATATGGCTTTTGAAGGTCATATTTATAAGTCCTTTAAAGATTTTAAATAAACCTTTTTATTAAACTTGAATCTGACAGAAGATAAATTTAGCATGCAATTAAAATCTACCACAGAAAGTTCAAAATACAATCTAAAATGGATTCATAGCATGAGTCTACAGTGTTTGGCATAACTAAGCCAACTTAATGCAGTTTTGGCTGGCAGATGGTTAATACTGGAATATTAACTAGTTTGACCTGAGTTATAGAAAGTGGAGTTGCAAGGGTCACTGGCAAAAGCTGTATATGTAAAATATTCAAAACCCTGGCCTTAAATAGATGTAAATTATTTGCATCCTGGTGAGGATAGAATTGTAATACAGTACAAAGTCCGTAATCCGGACGTCCATTATCCGGAATGATCTATAATCCGGACCTCAAAGCCACAAACTTTACGCATGCGCTTGAAGAATGTGCATGCATAACGCATGCGCGCATTGAAAGAAATGTTTAATAAAGTAAACAAATAAATATTAAGTTTTTTTTTTGTAAAATTTTATACCCTTTAGATTATAATTGCTCTTTATTTCATAATTGCTCTTTATTTCA